TTGACTGGTCGATACAATGAGTGATCTGTGTAACGAGAATGAAAATCATATCTATATTTGGACGTTTCCTCCTGTTTATCTACTGTTCTTAATATTATTTGAATCGTCTTATTAAGATGATTCAAATGATATTAAAACTATAGGTATCGGATCGCCTGATTGTTATTAAAAGTAAATATACAAAAAGTACAACTTGTAGGTTTTCATTTGGCGGCACTCATATACACTTATAAATTTTATCTTTCTAAATGCTACCTCTCTAAATGATATGCTGAATTTATGTACACATGATTTTCGAATAAAATTTAACCTATATTCATGAATATATATGGTTTATTTTAAATATCGTATTTCTGCGGAATAACGCCCATGAGCGTTATCTCGCGAAAATACAGTATTTGGATTACTTTGTTTTTACACTAAATGCTGTGGGAGTATTGAAGATGTTTGGGGAAACAATATCGGTAAAAATTGTCGAGATAACGATCACGAAGAAATGATATTGTCGGGAAATAAGACAAAGAAATGATATTCGGACAATTGTACGTATCAGGAAAATTAGGCATCAGGTCAGGGAAGTCTTATCAAATTGATCGTGACCTTATGATACATGAGAAGAACAATGCTAAGAATTAAAAGCGAAACTCGTCGTGAACAAGTAATAATAACGGTATATAATTGGAAATTTAATAATGATGTCACATGTTTGCGTCATCGTGAGAATTGTAATTCTTGTTTCTACTTTTATAAACATCGTACGATTATGCAAAAATAACGACATACAGTATATGCAAGTGATTTGTATATACGAGTACAATATGCAATTAAACAATATGCATGATAATAATTTTATACACTGGGCGTATCAAAAGTTCCATAGGTTCTTTTTTTAAACGAAACATTTAGAGGTCACGATGATTACTTATGCAAATATACTGTGCATATTTGCATACAGTATATTGGACTTTTGATATCCAACACTAAATTTTTTATTATGTATTATAAACAAATACATATAGGGTTTTACGAAATTACAGTTGTGTTAATATGTGCCACAGGAATTAGCCAGGGCGACCCCAAAAGTGCGGGTCACTTGATAAGAGCCACAACCACTGCATAATTTTCTTGAAAATGATTGAATCGTCTAGCTCCTACATGCAGCTTTATTATTATGAGCATTTCTTAAAACGAATTCAATATACTACTGGTTATTATTATTAATATGCGGACCCGCACATTTGGGGGTCGCCCTGGCCAATTCTACCACAGCTGCTATACTAAGCATTTTTAGTACAAAAACGGCTTATTTCCCACAGCTAAGAAAAAAGTTTTGGAAAGCACAAAAAGATTTTCAATGCAACACAAAAAACTTTAATTTCGATATAGAAATTCTACGCCAAAAAGCAAATTAAACTCATCGATATGTCAGATTTATTATTTACAATAACAACTTTAATCGTTCTTGACAAATTTAATAATTCTTATTATTGGCGTAAATTCAAATTTATAGCATTTTGGAAGATAGTAAAGAAAATAAACGATGTCTAGGATTTAATTAAACTCTTATGTTTAAAGCTCAAACATACGTCAATTTATTTCATAAAAAATTTTCAATTAAACAGGTCCTAGACCATCAATCCATTTACCGTGTGGTAAATTTTAATTTTTACGGATAATAACGTGATACCTATAATTCTGCAATTGTTATATTTTTATCCTTTAAATTGTCCCATAGACCATCGCTTAAATATGCTACGTACAATAGACAGATTACTCGTGATAATCAACAGGCAAATTTTCCTGAAAAGATACTATAGTTATTAATTATTAATTGTCTGGAGCGTAGCGACAGACCATTAGAAAATTTACGTTTTTGATGTATTTGACTAAAATAGTTACCTTTTTGATGCATCCACATAAACATTATGAAGGTCACATCAAAATGTAATTTTTGTCTGTCCGCGCACGTGCTCAGATTTGTAATTTAGTGTAATTAATTATTCTAAAAGTAATGAAAACTCGCTATCTGCCGGAATGTTTGAAACATGCTGCAATTTGCTGCAATATACTACAATAAGCAATTCGATAGATAGATTTCGCTCGTGATAATCTGCAGGAAAAAAAAAAATTTGTTGAAACAAAGTTCAAAAAATGAGATTTTATTTCGCCAAAATTTTTAATTAAATAGATTCTAGAAAACAACTTATCTTTATAATAAATTTCAATTTTAATGATCATAAAATATATCCCAACTTCATAAATATTCATTTATATTATTGACTATAAATTGTCAAGTCACGACGATTCTTCAATGGAAACACCAATTATAATTCCCGAAACTATGTCTCGCGTATCATGCGTTGACGCAAGTTACAGACTAATCGACGAAATAAAATATATCACTATAAACCTTAGAAATAAAAAAATTTTTGACCCAATTATTCACCCTTCATCAGAGACTGTTCGAGCCTTGCAATATGCAAAGCATGAAGTTGAATCATATTATCAACAATATGAGGATGCCTTTAATAAATATAAAGTTTCGTTAGAAAATATAAAAGAATTTGCGAAAGAAATAGTAAATATAGAAAAGAGTAATTATTTCTTTTATCCGTATAGGCGCGTGAAAGAAAAATATGAAAAATTGTTAAAGGAACATGAGAACTGTGAAAAAATATTACATCCAATTTTAATTAAAATCATAATGAACAAACAAGAACGTCAACAGGAAAATATTATGAATTTTCATAAGGTAACGTATACTGTATTTTTGCCAAATAAAAATCACATCATATGTAATCATTATTATTTAATTCGTAAGACCGTTATATAACAGATAAAACTTTGATTAGATGAATGACAAAAATATCTGGAACTTTATGTATTCGAGAATGGCTGAACTGTTTTCAATGATTAAGTTTAAATAAGCGGAAGCATTCATTTAAGCACAAAATCATCCACCAATATCTCAAGAACAGATAAGCCTTTATTGATGATTTTGAATTTAAATGAACGCTTCGAACCTTAACATCTGCTTAAGCCAAAAATAATCAAAAAGATTCACATAATTATGGTAGTTTATTTACTATTTTTTGCAATCCCGTTTTCGTTACTGCAACATTTAGCAGGTATATATCTCGAGAATTTTTGGTCCATTTTTTGTTTAAATGAATCCTAAGTTCGTCAACCCTAAAATCATAGATAATGGATCAGCCATTTTCAAATTTTACCGGATGTTTTTGTCGCATACTTCATATGGAAAGATGACTGTATTTTCTAAAATAATATTTAACAATTTTATTACATATAATAGATTTTAAAAGCCATTCCGGATGATATTAAAAGTGAAAAGATTATCCAAATAGAAAAGATAGTTCAAAACTTAATAGAAAGATCAGTTTCAGATATCAATGTCCCACGTATTGATTCAATATTATTATTTGATCCTCCTCGTGATGACGATTTGAAAATGAATCTTGAAAATGAACCTAATATGAGGTCAGAATGGGATCTAGATGATTGTATACAAATGAAACATATTGTAAAGAAGATTTATAAACGTGGTGTTGAAGTAGCATGTGAACCAGTTACCTTTTTTGAACAAAACTTGTCAATTTTAAGTGAATTAAAGAGATTCCGCGAGTGCCGAAATATTCTTAAATTTTATGGACTTTCAAATATTAATGGTGATGAAATGTTGATATTTGAATGGGCAGGCTTGGGTAATTTAAAGAATGTCTACGAAAAGAAAAAAATTCGTTGGGATTTAAAAGCGAAAATTGCACATGACATTTGTCAGGGCTTATTATTTTTGAGGCACGTGGATATTTTTCATCGTGACATTCGATGTGAGAATATAATGGTAAATCTTGTTCTAAATCTT